AAAGAGAAGGTACCAATAGTAGGGATAAGGGGAAGGTCCCAGATGAAGAACCCAGAAAATTCTGCAACAGCAAAATACATCTGAGGTGAGAATACCACCTTGCCAAGCAAGACCCGTAGGCCTGTAGGAAATAGAGCAGAAAAACTTTTCTGAACCAAACTTAGCTCTGAAAGGCAGAGAAGTAACCATATTTTGAGCCCTTCACTGTAACAAGAGGGAGCCCTCAAGCCATGATTCTGGGAAAGGTACCCTAGGCCATTCGCTCTCCACAAAAATGTGTTCACAGTAGTCCAGGTCATCACATTTCATTTAAACTTTGGAAAGGAGGAGGAGGATATGATCTAGCCTCACAAAGTGTTACAGAAGAAAATTGGACTAAAATACTTTGACAAGACACCAGGAAAATGCAAACACAAAGCAGATGAAAACTCTAATCTGACCCTTCAAACAAGGCTGCAAGAGATCAAGAAAGCAATTAAAGCTTTAAGAAAAGCACATAAAGTGGAAAAAGAACTCTGAAATAAAATGGCCAGACAACTATGCAACTGAAAAAGACAACAATTAATTCCAAGAAAAATAAAATATAATGTAGTGAAGAAAAAGTAATTGTATTTTTTAGTCAAAAATATTCATTGAGCATCAAATTTGAGCCAGACATGGTTACTAAACAATGACCTTGACAGACACAGGAAAAAATTAGTAAAAGAAAAAAAAAATCATTTCAGAAATAAAAGGAATACAAGAGAGTACAGACACCATAGAAAGAACAGGGAAATAAACGGTAAGGAAGAGAGTAATGAAGATAATCCAACAAAAGTCAATTTACACCTTGCAAGAAGGTGATAAAGATAAAAGATGAGCAAAGGACTATTTGTTTATTAACGACAACAATATGTATACACATTTGCAAAGCAGTTGACTGTTGACTTTGGGCAACGCATGGAGTGTTCTGAATTCTCAGACCCCAAGACAGTTGAACTTTCAACTCTGACAACTTTGGCTTTGAATTTCAGTTGGGCGCTTACAAGCTGTGCGTGGTAGATTCTTTGTCGGAGAAAATGACAGCAATAATTTCCACTCCCTGTAGCCACCCCTTGTTTCCCATCCCATAAGGCTGGGCTTGGCCGTGTGACCTGCTTTGGCCAATGGGAGAACAGCAAATAAGATGCGAGCTGGATTTAGAAAGTGCCTGTGCTTGCCCTCATGCTGCTTTCGGAGCTCAGCCACCTCGTACAAGCCGTACTGAATAATGACAGACTTGTGGCTACGTCTGCACCACCCAGCTGCCATTGAACTCTTTTCCTCCTCACCAGATGCAAGGCACCTTGGCCACCCAGCCCGCACTGAGCCAGCCCAAACAACTCACAAAACTGTGAGAAATAAATGTTTGCTGTTTTAAATCATAAGTTTTGTGGCAGTTTATAATGCAAAAAAAACTATATACTGCATGACTTTAGGTGAGTTTCTTAATCTGAGTCTCAGTTTTTTCACCTGTGATGCGGAGATAAAACAATTACCCATGGAGGGCTCTTTTGAGGATTAAATGAGGAAATATATGTGAAGTTCCTGGCACAGCATAAATAATAATAAAAAGAACCAACCTCTGCAGGCTGGAATGGTGGCCATCCTCAAGCTGGGGTACACAGTTTTAGTGCTTTGTAAGCAGTCCTCAAATCTAGAATGCCAGAGGGAGCCTGTGAAAGCACTGGAAGGATGAGGCAGCAGAGGCCAAGCTACCAGGTGCATGCCCCAAACCACAGCACTAGTCATTGGGGGTGGGGGAGAGTGCACTCTAGGCTATTCTCTGCCACTATCACAGCCTGCCACCCCATTCCAGCACCCCCCCCCCACCCCCCCCC